AATTATTTGGAAAGCCTTGCATTTTAAAGTTTTAACACAAATATGGCTTTCTAAAGTGAAAGGATCAGCTTTACCCAAAGAAAGATGGAGAAAGGGTTTTGCTTTTTTTCACTCCCAAAAGTTGGTGCTCACAATAGAGTACCATCCAAACAATTATATTATTGAGTAACTGAGCCAATCATGAGGTATCCCCTTGAAAAATTGTTTGGGTGCTGTTTTTTAATAAGGGTTTAATAAGGCATCTGATTATTTGGGAAACCTTGCATTTTAAAGCTTGAACACAAATATGGTTTTCTAAAGTGAAAGGACCAGCTTTACCCAAAGAAAGGTGGAGAAAGTTTTTTTTTCACCCCCAAAAGTTGGTGCTCACAATAGAGTACCATCCAAACAATTATATTATTGAGTAACTGAGCCACTCATGAGGTACCCCCTTGAAAAATTGTCTGAGTGCTGTTTTTTAATAAGGGCTTAATAAGGCATCTAATTATTTGGAAAACCTTGCATTTTAAAGCTTTATCACAAATATTATAAAGTAAATGGACCAGCTTTACTCAGAGAAAGGTGGAGAAATGGTTTTTGATTTTTTTCAACACCAAGAAGCTGTTGGGCACAATAGAGTACCATCCAAACATTCATATTATTGAGTAACTGAGCCAATCATGAGGTATCACCTTGAAAAATTGCTGTTCACATCAGCAAGGGTGCATTTCTCAGCTTGTGTGGGCTCAATTCCTAGTTTAAGAAGCTTTCTGAGCCATGGCAGATGAGACACTTGAGGAGTTTCATGAAAGAGTGCTCAGATTCCTTGAAGAGAATGGCTTCCATTGAAGTCCTGAGGGAGTACACTGAGAAGAAGAAGAAGGAGAAGCATCAGAAGGGTGGCAATGCTGACAGAGGACTCAGGGTTGGTTTTGGGGGTGTGGGGTTAGTTCTCAGCTTGCCCATGGTCTTGGACTTGTGCTCAAATTTGTGCAGGAATGCATGCTTGTGTGATTCCTCAGCTGCTTAGTGAACTCAAGCACATAGTCAACTTTTTGCCTTCCAGCTCAGCCATCTGCAACTCAACAACTAAGCCATGGCAAAGCCCACTGACTCAGTCCCAGATGGCATGGATTATACTATCAGAGGTGGCCATGCTCAGCTCAAACTCAGTTGGCCAAGCTTTCCCTCAGTGGATGACATCTTTGCTCAGGGATCAAACCCTGAGAGGATCATCAGCTACCCTCGCTATCATGGAGAGCCTGATGTTGCTTGTCCTGGGTGCAATGCTAAGGTGAAACTCAGCAGGATCCCATTTCAGAATGGGTGCAAAGACTGCAAGGACATGGGTTTGAACATGTGTGCATGCATTTGTTCTTTGTGTCTCTGAGCATGGGTGCATGGCCTTCATCAATTAATTGATTAATTGAAACACATATTAATTACTAAGTTTTAATATCTGATTGAAAGTTTTCTTCACATCTTTTGCAACCTTGCAGGATGTCAATGGGTGGCCTCAGAGAGTCATTGCTCAGTATTATCAGGTGATTCTCAACATGACCCCATTGCCTTGGCAGAAGTTAGTCTCAGAATCTTTTGGGGCAGCTCAGTTCAAGCACAAGCAGCAGCCAGCTGAGCCTGATGAGCCTCCTCCTTCTCAGAAAATTCAAGATGCTGAAACTGCTCAGCCACCTGGGCCTGCTGAGGCTGCAGGTGCTCAGGAGGCTCAGCTCTTCTCTGGGGGGTACTGCAAGTCAATTCTTGCTCATATTGACCCTCAGAACAGCATGGCAGATGCCATCTCTCAGCATCTGGCAATGGACTTGGAGGGTTCTGATCTCTCAGATTTGGAGGGACTGAGAGACATCATCTCTAAGAGGCTTATGCTCATTGACAAAGCCTATGCAGCTCAGGATGAAACTATGACTATGCTCCTGCAAGATGCTGACAAGATGTCTAAGAAGCAAGCTGCCTTGCTTGAGCTCAGGTGTGGCTGCATTGAAGCTCAGGAAAGGGTTGATGCTAGAGTGGCTCAGAAGAAGGAGGAGCAAGAGATGGCACAGGCTCAGGTGGAACTGAGGAAGCTAAAAGAAGAGCAGGCTCAGCAGATTCTCAGTCAGATGGATGCTATTGGTCTGAGCCCTGAGGCTTTGCTGGAGCTGCATCAGAAAAGGCAGAAAGATGGTAAGAAGCCAATTCCTGAAGATCAAGTTTCTGAGCCTCCTGGTACCAGCAAGCCTGAAGCTGCAGTTCCTTCTGAGGCTGACAGGGCTGAGTTTGAGTCTTGTGGTCCAGCCACCAAGAAGGCAAGACTTGAAGAGCCTCAGCAGTCTTCTGAGATGGTGGAGGTCATTGTTGAGGAGGAGATTGAGTAATTTGAAGCCTGAGCAAAAGACTTAGGATTTCTTTGCAATATCTCAGCTCAGACTGAGTTGTGTCATCACATGCCATGACAAGCAGCTGGCAGTGGAAAAATGCATTTGATGGGCTGAGGTGGTTCTGTTGTTGTTGCCATTGTTTTTTTTGAACTGGTTTCACAAGAACTACTTGTAATTAATACATTGTAATTAATTAATTGATGGTTCATCTTGGTTCAGTGCCCATGTAGTTGACCTTGTCCTTATATTTTTCCCCTGACAGGACCTGAGGGTGTGGCTTAGAAGATGCTCACAGAGAACAATCAGAGATGTGGCTTAGAAGATGCTCAGAATGATGGCAATGCTTGGGGAGGACTCAGGGTTGGTTCTGGGGGTGTGGGGTTGGCTCTCAGCTTGCCCATGGTCTTGGACTTGTGCCCATGGTCTTGGACTTGTGCTTATGTGATTCCTCAGCTGATTAGTGAACTCAAGCACATAGTCAACTTTTGGCCTTCCAGCTCAGCCAGCTGCAACTCAGCAACTGAGCCATGGCAAGGAACACTAAGGATCACTCAGAATTAGTTCCATCTGGCATGGAATTTACTGTCAAGGGTGGCCATGCTCAGCTCAAGCTCATTCCACAAAGCTTTCCCTCAGTGGATGACCTCTTTGCTCAGGGATCAAACCCTGAGAGGATCATCAGCTACCCTCGCTATGATGGAGAGCCTGATGTTGCTTGTCCTGGGTGCAATGCTAAGGTGAAACTCAGCAGGATCCCATTTCAGAATGGGTGCAAAGACTGCAAGGACATGGGTTTGAACATGTGTGCATGCATTTGTTCTTTGTGTCTCTGAGCATGGGTGCATGGCCTTCATCAATCAATTGATTAATTGAAAAACATATTAATTACTAAGTTTTAATATCTGATTGAAAGTTTTCTTCATATCTTTTGCAACCTTGCAGGATGTCAATGGGTGGCCTCAGAGAGTCATTGCTCAGTATTATCAGGTGATTCTCAACATGACCCCATTGCCTTGGCAGAAGTTTGTCTCAAAACCTTACTGGACAGCTCAGTTCAAGCACAAACTGAAGCCACCTAAGCCTGCTGAGCCTCCTGGTTGTCAGCAACCTCAAGCTGAACCTGATGCTGAATCTTCTCAGCCACCTAAAGCTGCTACCTTTGCTATGGCTGCTCAGACTGATGACAGCACCTTTGTTCAGGGGTACTGCAAGTCATTGCTTGCTCAGATTGACCCTGAGAATGGCATCAGGCAGGCTATCAATCAGCTGAAGGGGATGGACCTTAGTCCTGATGTCTCTGATGTTCAGGAGCTGGAAGCTATCATCTCTCAGAAGCTTCTGCTTGTTGAGCAAGCCTATGCTGCTCAGGATGCCACTATGCAAAGGATCTCCACAGATGCCCAGCAGATGGCTGAGGAGCAAGGTGTCTTAGGTCAGCTCAGGCTTGACATCTTAGATGCTCAGGAGAAGCTGAAAGGTTTCCTGGCTCAGAAGAAGGAGGAGGAACAGGCTCAGGAGGAACTGAGAGAAGAGCAGGCTCAGCAGATTCTCAGTCAGATGGATGCTATTGGTCTGAGCCCTGAGGCTTTGCTGGAGCTGCATCAGAAAAGGCAGAAAGATGGTAAGAAGCCAATTCTTGAAGATCAAGTTTCTGAGCCCCCTGGTCTCAGCAAGAAGCAAAGGATTGAGAAGCCAGAAAAATCTGACTGAATTTGATCTCAGCAAGCTGTTGCAAAAATGTCAGCCAGATGAGACTAGTCAGAGGTCCCAGGGCTCAGCCATGTCTGCCAACTCAGACAACAAGTAGTACAGTTTCTTGGAGCCTGAGGAGGTATGACTCAGGTGCTTTCATGCTGAGCAATGATTTTTTAGTCAGTTCATAAGTCTTGGCAGCATGTTGAAAAGCTGGCAGAAAAATGAGTGCAGTTCTGCATGGATGTGGGTGGTTTTGGCACTGCTGCTGGTTGTTGTTGGGGTTTAGAATAGTTAAAATATTAACTAATTACTTTAGTTACTTAGCATAAATAATGGCATGAATATGGTGTTGGGCATTGTAATGGTTCTTCTTAGTGCAGTGCCCATGAATATACTGTTCCCCCTGGCAGGACCTGAAGATGTGAAGAAAAGTCTCAGGGCTACATCATCTCAGCAAGCACAGTAAGATTCAGCAGATGCACTTCTGATGGGGCTTAGGTGACTTCTACTTTTTAGAAGCTTGGCACAGCCCAAGCAACCCTCAGCCATGACTTGGTCATGATTTTTTGTCTACTTGATGCATTCTCAGCATGCATTGCATCAGCTCTTCAACAGCATCATATTTCAGATGCACTGGATGAAAAAGTGGCTTGGAGCTGGCTGCAATCACTCAGATTTGACTTAGCATGATCAGGGGAGGATGTTGTCACTACTAATTAATGCTTAGCTAAGGATCTAGGCCACACATGGGAAAGGCTATCTAAAGTAGAATTTATATAACTTAGCATACTAGGCATACTTAGGTTGGCTGCAGCCACTACTAAGCCTTGGCACTGAGTGTTGGCCACCCTAAGTTGGTGACATTCCTTTCTAAGTTTTCATCTAGGGCTGTTCTGAGCCTCCATGCTACCACAGCAGCATCCAACATCCAAGCTTCAGCACTCTTTGCACCCAGTTGCAACTGCATTTGCTTCCTGGCTTCTCAATCAAGTTTAGTCATGTTTTTGTTTCTGGTTATTTTTTTTAATTTTAGGATGAACTAAAACATCAATTAATTAATGGCATGTGTTTCCATGTGCTTCCATGGCAGCCAAGGCTACAGCCATGAATCTTCAGCTGAAGGCCTTTGTGATCCTCAGCTTGGTGGCTTCATCTGGGCTGAGCCTCTCAAGTTCCTGAGCTTGCACCTTATTGTTGATTGCTAATTAATTAATTATTTATAATTAATTAATTAATGATTTTGCAGGAGATAAACCTAGTCTTAGACACAGTAGCACAAATATCATGTCAGCCTTTGAGCTAGTCTGTCTTCAGCATCTCAGTCTCTTGAGCACCATGTGCCTCAGCAGCTTTTTCTGATCTCAGCACATCAGCAACCTTCATCAGCATCAGTCATCAGTTCTTCTCTTGGAGCCATGGGACCTCAGCTGAAGATGGTTTGCATCATGGCTCTTGCTTGCAGCACAGGCATCAGCTTGGCTAGCATCTCAGCTACATAACAACTTGTTTTTGGGTCCTTGGATTGCATGGTTCAACATGTTTTTGTTCATTCCTCAGATGGTAGCCCTAGGTGGTACCTCAGTGGACCTACAGGCTAGGCTCAGCCAGCTATCAGATGTCATTCATGCACCTCAGGTTGCTTCTTGGCAGCAAGCAGTACCATATTTGGATCAGCTGTTAAAAATTGCTTAGGCCAATGGTAAAAACTACTTGTTTGTTTTTGCCTGGGAGCAAAAAACAACACCAGGCTTGGCTCTCAGGCTTGGCTCTCTGCTTCATCTTCCTCCTGGGACTCAAGACTGAGCTCAGCACCTTGGTGCAGGTCCTGCAGAACCTCAGAGATGACCTTTGGTATGCTTCTGATCATTCTCAGCAGAGGCTTGACTTCATCTCAGAGAAGGTCAGGGCCATGGAGCTCAGGATGGATATGACTGGAGGAAGTACCTGGGACACCCTGAGGCACCTCAAGCAGCATTTTGAAGAGTTTGACCCTCAGGCAGGTGGTGCAGCTTTGTTCTCAGAATTCTTAGTGAAGAAGCGCTGGGCACTTCTCAGTGGACCTGTCTCCCACTGGGACCAAGAAGCTCAGTTCACAGAGTGGGACTTGCTGCTGAGCACTGCTATCTTAGCCACCAGGGAGGGTGTCATGTACAATCGATTCCTCAGGGTACTTGAATTCATTTGGTTTCCTTTTTTTGTGAAGAGGAACATGTTGTTGGATGTTTTTTGTTGAGGTCTGTTGGTTTCTTGAAACCTTTTCAGCCAGCTCAGGCACTCTACAGCAGGACTGCCTCAGATGAAGAGCTCAGGCAGGAGACCCTGGTGGTGGAGAACACTCAGCGACCTGAGCTCTCAGTACTTTGGGCCCACCACCAACCTGAGAATGACATCAATGAGTTGCTGGCCTCAGCACATGCTTTCAGCTGTGCTAAGCAACATTGGCTCAGTGCACATAGCAGGGAAGTAGGACTCAGAACCAAGGCTGAGAGGCTCAATGTGCTTAGCAGCATAGACCTCTCAGATGTGGCTGAGCCTGACCTACTTTCTCAGTGGAACATTGAAGCTGAGGTGGAATGGCACCTCAGTGATCTACAGGCTCAGAATGAATTCTGAGACAATTCAAAGGCTCAGCTTACCTGAGCAGCGTTTTTGGAAAAAGGAGTCTGCCTCAGTATCCAACATCAGTAAGTAATTAGTTAATTAATTAGTTAGTAGCCATTTGGTATGACTAATTGACTAATTACTTAATTAATTAGGCAACTAGCTCTTTTCTTAGTGTATTCTTGTTTTGCACCAAGCCTGCACTTCAGGTTGCAATGCTATTGACCTGGCAGTGAGGCTGAAGGACCTCAATCCTATTTTTTCCTCAGCTGAGCTTGACCTTGGGCACAGCTTAGTGTTGCCTATTTTCATGTTTTCAATTTTCTATTTTATCAACAAGTTTCTTATTATGTAGGAAAAGGTGACTCTTGTAACATGAATGCAATGTTGCAAAACTCAGGGATGGCTTGCATTCACTTCTTTGCTCCTCTTCACCCTGAGCATCCTTTTCAAGCCACTCAGTAACTTGAGAGCCCTGGTCACTCAGATGCAGCTGCTCAGGGATGAAGCTTGTTGGCACTTGAGTATAATTTTGTGCATCTGAGTTGCTTGAGGTAAACTCATTATAATTACAATTCATTGTATAGTTAAATTATGTTTATATCTTTTGGGATCTTTCATTGAACCAGCTAGGAGATGAAGAAGCTCAGCAAATCCTTTGAGCAGTGGCTCAATTACTACAGCTCAGCAGTTCATTACTTCAAAGGAGCTCTCAGCAGGCAGGAGGAACTCAATGTCCTTCAGGGCTTGGACATCTCAGACATCCTGGAGCCTTTGCCCAAAGAAAGATGGAGAAAGGGTTTTGTTGTTTTTTTTTTCACTCCCAAAAGTTGGTGCTCACAATAGAGTACCATCCAAACAATTATATTATTGAGTAACTGAGCCACTCATGAGGTACCCCCTTGAAAAATTGTCTGAGTGCTGTTTTTTAATAAGGGTTTAATAAGGCATCTGATTATTTGGGAAACCTTGCATTTTAAAGCTTTAACACAACTATGGCTTTCTAAAGTGAAAGGACCAGCTTTACCCAAAGAAAGGTGGAGAAAGGGTTTTGCTTTTTTTTCACTCCCAAAAGTTGGTGCTCACAATAGAGTACCATCCAAACAATTATATTATTGAGTAACTGAGCCAATCATGAGGTATCCCCTTGAAAAATTGTCTGGGTGCTGTTTTTTTAATAAGGGTTTAATAAGGCATCTGATTATTTGGGAAACCTTGCATTTTAAAGCTTTAACACAAATATGGCTTTCTAAAGTAAAGGCACCAGCTTTACCCAAAGAAAGGTGGAGAAAGGGTTTTGTTTTTTTTTTCACTCCCAAAAGTTGGTGCTCACAATAGAGTACCATCCAAACAATTATATTATTGAGTAACTGAGCCAATCATGAGGTATCCCTTTGAAAAATTGTCTGGATGCTGTTATTTAATAAGGGTTTAATAAGGCATCTGATTATTTGGGAAACCTTGCATTTTAAAGCTTTAACACAACTATGGCTTTCTAAAGTGAAAGGACCAGCTTTACCCAAAGAAAGGTGGAGAAAGGGTTTGCTTTTTTTCACTCCCAAAAGTTGGTGCTCACAATAGAGTACCATCCAAACAATTATATTATTGAGTAACTGAGCCAATCATGAGGTATCCCTTTGAAAAATTGTCTGGATGCTGTTATTTAATAAGGGTTTAATAAGGCATCTGATTATTTGGGAAACCTTGCATTTTAAAGTTTTAACACAACTATGGCTTTCTAAAGTGAAAGGACCAGCTTTACCCAAAGAAAGGTGGAGAAAGGGTTTTGTTTTTTTTTACTCCCAAAAGTTGGTGCTCACAATAGAGTACCATCCAAACAATTATATTATTGAGTAACTGAGCCAATCATGAGGTATCCCTTTGAAAAATTGTCTGGGTGCTGTTTTTTAATAAGGGTTTAATAAGGCATCTGATTATTTGGGAAACCTTGCATTTTAAAATTTTAACACAACTAATTATGGCTTTCTAAAGTGAAAGGACCAGCTTTACCCAAAGAAAGGTGGAGAAAAGGTTTTGTTTTTTTTTACTCCCAAAAGTTGGTGCTCACAATAGAGTACCATCCATACAATTATACTATTGAGTAACTGAACCACTCATGGGCTACCTTCATGGTGGCTTCTTGCTGACTAAGGTGACTCAACAAGTCAGAGCTAGAGGTGGAGGAGCTGAAGCTACACCTGAGAAGCATGCCACTGGCAGCCCTGAGTCTTCACCAGCCAGCTCAGGAAAGGTACAGTATGGCCTGAGCAAGTTCTTTGGCTCAGCAAGCCAGAAGAAAGAAGCTCAGCCAGTGCCATTGCACATGCAACTTCAGCCTTTCAAAAGGCAGAGGCTTGGCAGATTTCAGGAAGATGCTCTCAGAGAAAAGAATGAAGCACTCAGACAGCAAGCTG